TAAAGGTCAGCAATTTATCGCCCCGTGGGACATGTGTTCCAATCCTGCTATCACTACCTAATTAGACCTTTTTCTATGGTGTATGACTGTCCTCCTAATGACTGTTTTCCTCTTCCTAAACATTTTCCATTGTAATTTCAATAAAAGAAAGTAAAAATAAAAGACAAACGAAGGATAAAAAAGGTAATCAATCGCCCAGGTCTAGATGCATTGTATCAATTACTGTCTGGAACAACCGACGAACAGTTTAATTTCGACATGCTCTTTGGGAAAATGTTCCCTCTATCCAGAATAATTTTAGCTCGATTGACCTTTGTCATTCTCCCACCAGGAGTAACCCTGTTTCAGGCTAATTGACCGCAAACCATCCAAACTACTTTCGCTCTCGTACAGGACACTGGTTTCTACGAGTGATCGCGGTCTATTCTGCTATATTTGTGCTTGCCTGGCTTACAATAGCTTACAATAGCTATCAGACCAGACATAAATTCACTATCTTTCCACAGACTGTATGTGTAGGCAAAGCAAATACTGTTTCGATGACGTAGTTTATCATCCTAAAATATCTGTCCGCGTCATAGATAAATCACTACTCACGTTCCGTGATATTCCTTGAAAGTACTTGTCACTCATCAGCCAGCTATTCTCATTACCAGTATTCTGAATGTCCTTTTGACAGCAACAACAACACACAATCTGGCGTCGGACGTGTGTGAAATATATATATATATATATACAATAAAAAATATTTTACTTCTTTTTTACTTCATTGAGTATTATAATATATGCAGAAGTAATCGCCGCCTCCGATGACTTTTTCACATATTGCGTAAGCCTGCCCATCGACTTCCTTTCCGTGCTCTCTTCGCACGTGTCGGGCAAGGCTGGAAGTAGTGACGCGGCGGTCAGACCATGATATGGGATAGAGGCATGAAGAAGCTGGCTTCCGCTTTGGCTTCGGTTGGTGCAGCCCGCCATCCAGGTTGGGGCCCAAGGGATGAGGATTGTCGTTAGTTAGAGACGCTGAGAGACATGGCCCGGAATAGAAGTCAGT